CCCTCCCCAAGTCTTTCCCATTCACCCTCTGCCCTCCAGGATCCCCTCCCCAAGTCTTTCCCATTCACCCTCTGCCCTCCAGGATCCCCTCCCCAGGTCCTTGGGGACATCATTACTCACATCTGTACTTGTCCATTTCCACATAAGAGGAAGCTCTTTTTCTCCTTACACTCAAGAGCGTAATATAGAACTGAGTCTACTACTGATTTTTCCTGTGCAAATCAAATCTAGTCCTGCTGGGTTTGGGTTAAAGCTGAGAATCGGCACACCTGATTCTTTTTTCACTCCTCGACATCTCATTCCTCACTATTCAGGCCACACCACCATCTCCTCACCTGGAAGTGTGCACCAGCTGCTCCATCGTCCAGCTTCTACTCTGACCCACCTCTCTGTCCCTTCATCATCACATTGCAGCCTGAGCGATTTACTTTTCCTCACTTCCAGTTAACCAGAATGAGCCAGTGTGACCAATGAAAATCTTACAGCATTTTCCTACAAAACCACCCGAGAAGTGACCTCTTCTTGCGCTTAAGATAAAAACCTAAGATCCTCCTGCCCTCGTGAAGTCCGTACCTGATATTACCAAAAAAACCCCCAAACCAAAACCCAAAGTAACGGATGTTGTTTAATAAATATGAGAGATTTATTATCATAGAAATGAAGAGACATAAAAAAAGAAGAGACACTGATGTAACAGGAGGAAGAGCAAACAAGATTTAAGAAACTCCTCGGGCCTCTTGCAGAAAAGGCTGCTTTCCCACACGGCTGTTTCTACTCTCAGGCATCCTTCCTCCTCTTCTCTCTCCTCCCCCTTGCTGCTCTGCAGGGATTTCTTTCACCATCTGCAGTCTAGGTTGTCTCCTTCCCAGAACATTACACAACTTTGAGGAATTTTGTATATTTGAAAATTTAACCTACAAAAATGGAATTGTGCTGCTGTTGTTCAAACTACTGATGAAATGATTGTGAAATGCGTTGTTGACGAATCCCAACTAGAATCAAGCGCGGTAGGAATAGGAAATGGCTCTTATCTCTCAGGGCCTTGTGCAGGGTTTTTATGTTATTTCTTGAACAAATGAGGAAATGGAGGAGCCTGTCTAGGAATAAACTCCAGTTTCTTAAATCTTTAGTTGGTTCTCCTGTTACATCACAGTCTCTTCATTTCTTTTTTTTTTTTTTTTTAGTCTCTTCATTTCTATGATAATAAATCAGTCCGATTTATTAAACAACATCAGTTACTTTTGGGGGAATTTTTTTTTTGTAATCTCAAATACAGACTTGCCGCTTTAGAAGTTGGTTTGCATCAGTGTCAAAGCAGCTCTGTGCGTTTTAGCCCTTGTTTCTGCTGACAGAAAGCAGCTCATAAAGGCAACAGTAGCTCTTTAATGATCAGATGATGACATTAATTGTTGGAGAATAAAGATGGAAACCAAACAGGAGGCTACCTGAGTCTGGAAATGGGTTGTCCTCCATGGTAGTGTCTTCTACCAGGAAAAGAGACTTCGACATACAGGCTGTGGGAGGGGTACAAGCTCAGGGCCAAAGACACTGATAAGGAGGTTATTCTGGAAAGAATTACTTTGCATTGAAAGATAAGATACAGATTGAATAATGATTGAGAAAAGCACAAATTATGAACTGAAAATCCATTTGAATGTTTTATCAGTTCTAAGGAATGTCTTTCTTTTAGGGAGAAAAAATGGGTGACTGTGGGTGACACTTCCCTCAGGATATTTAAGTGGGTTCCTGTGACAGACAGCAAGGAGGTAAGTGGAAGGAAGGCAAGACAAAAAGGTACTGGTGCTTTGTTTCTATCATCGCCACTTGTTTATAAAGAAATATGCTTCCCCAGAATTGAAGAGAAAATGCCTCCTTCAAGACACCTTCTGTCATTGGACTATGCGAGGCCCCTCTTCATTTCATTCTGCTTTCTGTTCTCAATCTCCTAACCCATTCTTCTATTCCAGGTCTTGGCAAACCACAGCCCAGACAAACTTCTTGGGTTGGTCAGTATAGGTTTATTTAAACACTGCCATGTCCATGGGTCTCTTCATTTTCTGTTGTCGTTAAGTTATGGTGATGGAATTGAGTCCTTGCCACAGAGACCTAATGGCTATGAAACCTAGCCTTTTACGGACCTTTGGGGAGCCCAAATGGTTGGACATGTGGTTTGAACCCACTGTGAGGCTCCTTGCAAGATAAGCTTGGCCATCTGCATCCCCAGTGTCTCAGGCTTGAAAACCCTATGGGGCACTTCTACTTTGCACACTTAGGGTCGACATGAGTCAGAATCAACATGATGGCAACACCAGCAGCAATAAGATCAGACAAGAAAGAGCTGGGCAGCCCTGAGCGTGAAGAGTTGAGTGTCTATCCCTGGGTCTGGTACCCAAGAAGCTTTCAGTAAATGCTTGGAAGTCTAGAGTGCCAGTCTTCAGAGAGTGGTCTGCACTCCCCTGGGGTCTGAGAGGGCAAAACCTGATTTTAGAAAACTAGGATATCATCCATGATGAATGCAAAATATCATTACAAAGAAAGAGGAAGAAGAAGAGAATGAGATGGATGTCAAAAGAGACCCTGAATATTGCACTAGAGTGCCGAGAATCCAAAACAAAGGGAAGAAATTAAGGAGCTAAACAGAATATTTAAAAGGGCAGCTTGGGAAGGCAAGGTGAAGTGTTATAATGAAATGTGCAAGGAGCTCAAGTCAGAAAATCAAAAGGGCTGAACTCGCTCGGCATTTTTTAAGCTGAGGGAACTAAAGAACAAATTCAAGCCATGAGTTGCAGTGCTTAAGGATGCTATGGGCAGAATATTGAATGATTCAGGAAGCATTAAAAGAAGATAGAAGGAGTATACAGAGTCACTGTACCAAAAGAATTGGCTGACACAGAAGAATTTAAAGAAACAATCAAGAGGCAATGGTGATGAAGGAGGAAGTTCAGGTTTCTCTGAAGGACTTGGCAAAAAATAAAGCCCCAGGAATAGATGGAATACAAGTTGGTGTATTTTAGTAAACAGATGCTGCCTTGGATGTGCTCACCAAGTTGTGCCAAGAAATCTGGAGGACATCTTCCTGGCCAACTGACTGGAAGAGATCCATATTTATTCCCATTCCAAAAAAAGGTGACCCGACAGAGTGTGGAAATTATTGAACAATATCACTAATATCACAAACTGCTGGAGATTATCCAGAAATAACTGGAACAGTATATTGATAGAGAACTACCAGAAATACAGGTTAGATTTAGAAGAGGCCTTGACACTAGAGATACTATTGCCAATGTCAGATGGATCTTGGCAGAAAGCAGAGAGCATAAGAGGAATGTCTATCTGTGTTTCATTGACTATGCAAAGGCATTTGACTGTGTGGATCACAACAAACTGGCTAACCTTGATGAAGATGGGAATCCCAGAACACTTGATTGTGCTTATGTGAAATCTATACTTGGACCAGAAAGCAGTCCTCAGTACAGAGCAGGGAAACACTTCATGGTTCGAAATCAGGAAAGAAGTACATCACAGATACATCCTCTCCATACCTTTTTCAGTCTATATGCAGAACAGATCATTCAGGAAGCAGGGCTTTATAAGAAGGAATGTGGCATCAGGATTGGAGGAAGACTCATCAGCAACCTATGTTATGCAGATGACACAACTTTGCTTGTTGAAACTGAAGAGGACCTGAAGCACTTGCTACATTGATCAAGGATTGTAGTCTGTAACGTGGATTGAAACTCAACATCAAGAAGATAAAGATTCTTGATAGATGAAAAAGAGGTTGAGGTTGTTAACAGTTACAGCTTGCTCAACTCCATAATCAACAACACTCTTAGCACCAGCATTCAGGAAATCAAAAGACGAATTGCATAAGAAAAATCTGCTGTAAGGGAGCTCTCCAGAGTACTGAGAAGCAACAGTGTCAGTCTAGAGACTAAGGTGTGCCCAATCCAGGCCATGGTCTTTGCAGTTACTTACTATGCATCAGAGAGCTGGACAATGACTAGAAAAGACAGAAGAATAGATGCCTTAAAATTGTGGTGCTGGAGAAGAGTCTGGAACATACCAATGACCTCCAAGAAAACAAATAGGACTGACTTGGAGAGAGTGAAACCAAGTTTCTCCTTGAAGGCTAGGATTTTGAAGGTCTGCCTCATATACTTTGGGCATGTGGCCAGGAGAGATGGATCCTTGGAGAAGGACATCATGCTCTAAAGGGTAGAGGGACAGCGCAGGAGAGTAAGACCCTGGATGAGGTGGATTGATACAGTAACTGGGACAATGGAGGTGTGTCAGAATGAGTGAGACTGGCTCAGGACAGGACAGGCTTCAGAGCTGTTGTTCATAGGATAGCTAAGGGTCTTAGGCAACTCAGCGGCACATAACGATATAAATGACAGCTTTGTGTATTTGGCTTTGTGTCTTTCCTCTCATTGTAAAGTACATACGTGTTGCTGTTTGAAGCATTGTCCACCATTTTAGTCCTATGTAGAATTTCATTATGATCATGCTGTAGTTTATCTTTTTGAGTTCTGCAGTTAGACATTTTGGTGGTTATTGGTTTGGAGTATTTGTGAATGAAGAGTCTTGTGGGTACACACCACCTTTGTCACTAACTCTGTGGCAAACCACAGCATGAATCTCGTTCCCAGCTGGAAGCTAATCCATTCTTTGCCTTCTTGGATTTCTGTTCCGCACCGCTAACCACTTCCATGGCAAATACTCTCTCTGACACTAATGATCAGAGCTGAGCCTATACAGGTGATGGCTCTGACCTGCCAGCCCCTGCCAAATAGGCAAATGTCGTTTTCTCTGCTGGTTCTCACTGCCCCTAACTCACTAGATAACTCACAGAAACCATTGTCTACCCTTAACACTTTAAAATGACAATAAAAAATTTATTCCAACTCATAGTGCCCCAGTAGGACGAAGTAGAACTGCTCCACATACTTGTATATGCCATCAAGTTGAAACCGGCTTATAACTGACCAGCAGGTTTTCAGAGGCACTTTAATCGCACAGGAGGAGATTGCCCATCCTTCTCTGGTGGGGCAGCAGGTGGATTGAAACTCCTTGCCTTTGGAATTGCTGTTCAGCTTTTTCTACTAGGCTGTCAGCGCTCCCTTTGGAGCAGTTCTACTCCATAGGATTTCTAAAGCTGTAATTTTTGGGTTTTTTTAAAGCTGTGAATCTTAATGAAAGCAGAGTACTATATCTTTCTATTGCATAGCAGCTCCTGGGTTTGAACCATCAGCCTTTTGCTTAGCAGCCAGGTGCTCAATCATTCTGCCACTGGGACTCCTTATACTAAATGCACACCTATTTATTATGAGTATAACTAACATCATTGAAGAGACACTACAGGCCAAGTCTGAGAGAGATCCTGGCTCGATGCTTTAATTGCTGCCAGGGGTCAGTGTGCCAGGGGCCAGGATTCTCCACTGTGACCTCAGTGACTGCGTGACTTGATGGGTATACTTGGTTCACTGAATTCAACTTCCCTTCCTAAAGTAAGTTCATCAGGGGTAGGGCCTGCCTGTGTAGTCTCTTCTTGCCTGGCTATATTAGAAGGACAAAGAATACTTTAATTGCTTGGGCTTTTTTTAAGATACAGAAAGCCAAATCTAGTTATTTGTCCCACCAAATCAACCTGTGCATGAGATTTTCTAAAATAAATTCCTAGGTATGGAATTGCTAGGTTTTAGAGAACATGCACTAATTTATACTCCAGCTGGAAACAGGAGCGTTCTCATTCATTGCTCTAAGTTCTCACTGTCACTGGGTATTGTTAGACAGATGTTTAATCATATCTCAGTATAGCTTTACTTTGATACCTGATAATGTAATTACTAATGAGATTGAATGTTTATTGGCTATCTTAAGCTGGGTTCCCTAGAGGAGCAGTTATACACACATACATACACACACACACACACACACACACACACACACACACACACACAAAAATAGAGATTTCATTTAAGTAAATGGCTCATGTAATTGTGGAGACTGGAAAATCCCAAATCCTTGCATCAGAAGCAGGCTGAAGGCTGCTTCTGACTCATGTGGTATTGTGGCCTGAGTACCCCTTAAATGTGGTCACCAAGAAGATGTCTCCAGGGTACTCCTTAAATCTAATGTCTTTCATTTAGTTAAGAATAGTGTTGTTCATTGAAATGAAAAATAAACAACCTAAAAAAAAAAGAATAGTGAAACAGGAGTCCAGACTCTTCTATATAAGCTTAGAAAGAGATTTATTAGGGAAAATACTTTGCAAAATAAAACTTTGACAAGAAGGGACAAAGCAACACAGGCCTGTGACTTGCTCTACAGAGTAGTTTTTTTGGCTTATAAAGATCTAAGTGAGAAAGATTTTCAAATTTATTCGATGCTTCCATTGGGATGCTCCACTGTCCCCAGGAAGGGTGAGTGTAAGGGAAGCGGAGAATTCCAGGAAATGGCCCATCTAGGAGGGATTGTAAGTCAGTGCACAAACACCTGGTTCTTCACGGAGGATGCTGTTACAGGGGCTTCTGGGTCAGGATGCACTGCTTATGGAACAGTGCACATGTGCGATGTAGGACATCCTCTGGGTCAGTTCCCCTGGCTGGTAGGTGACTTCACTTCCTGCTGGAGAAGGTCTTCTCAGTCACAATGGTGGTTTTGAACTGGTTTTGCTTTGACCAGGAAGTTCATCTATAGAGAGCAGTGTTTTAACTAGAAAGGGTTAACAGTCATCAGATATTAATGAACGGTGGGATAAAAAAACTAGGGAATGAAGCCAAGGGTGAGTCTCAGTAGCGGGGGCTGACAAATCCCACATCTTTTGGTTCAGACAGGTGAGAGGGTGCTGCTCATGTCCCGAGAACTAACTGAAAGTCAGAACGTAAGACAAATGCCGAGAAAACCTAAGCTTTGTCAGAACATATATATATACACACACGTGTGTGTGTGTGTGTGTGTGTGTGTGTGTGTGTTAAAATGCAGACTACACTCCCAAAGAGACTCCCCTGCCAACTGCTCACTCAGATCCCAAGCTGGGGAACGATTATGTAATACCGACTCGGCCACTGAGAATCAGGCTTCAGGTGGGCACTTGGCATTAGCCATCACTTCAGCCTTTTGAATCACCTCTTTAGGAAGTATCTGTTTAAGTCTTTAGATTTTCTTCTTTTTGGCTGTGATATTTTTCTTGTAGGAATTCTCTGTGCTCTGGACACAAGCCTTTTATTGACTGTTGTTGTTGTTGTTGTTTATTGTCAGATGCCATCCAGTCAACTGTGACTTATTACAGTGACCCTGTGAACAGTGGCTCTGAACGTGGTCCATTCTGTGGCTGTCTTGGCACCCTGAATGACAGCCCATTCTTTGGCTATCTTTGCACTCTGAAGGGTCCAGAGAAAAATAACAACAGGAAAAACCCCCCAACCCTGTTGGCTGTCAAGTGCTTTCACCTCACAGTGGACAGACTAAAAACTGCTCCCATCGGGTTTCCAAAGCGATACACAGAAACACAACTTTCTTCTACATAGTGACTGGTGGATTTGAACCACAGAACTTTATTAGCATCTGAGCACTTTAATCACTGTCATCAGACCCTTTTACCTCTTCAAGTGTTGACTTTATTCCTCTCTCCCTGAGCCACCAGGGCTCCTTGATAGGCCCTACATAGGGAGGAGTGGAGCCCCAGGGTGGATAAAGTACGATATGCCGTCAAGTCAGAACTGTCTCATAGCTGACCCTCTCATTGGGGTTCGGAGGCCATACCCTTTCATTGGGGTTCGCAGGCCATAAATGGTGCAGGAGGAAATGGTTCCTCTTTCTCATTTGGAACTGCTGGTGGCTTTGAACTGCTGGAAAGACACAGCCTTTGGCTTAGCAACACAGCTTCCTACAACTAGGCTACTAGCGCTCCCTCTCCTATATATGTAAATAAATGTTGACTTGTTTACTAACCATTTCCATTTCTTTCTTACTGTTTTCTCTTGGACTCTTGGTAGAATGTTTCGCTCAAGAGTTTTATCAAAGATGGACTTTGTAAGGAATACCTTTTTATTCCTGAAAATATCTTTTATTTTCATGTTTACTTGAAAATTTTTGCCTGTATAGAAACTTCTAGGCTCCAGATTACATGTTTTCTTTGTGTACTTGGAAGCTGTTACTCAATTTTTGAGCTTCCCAGGTTGCTGTTTAGATAGGTGATATCAATCTATTCTTGATTCTTCATTCTGCTTGGATTTCTCTAGCAGCTTTTAGAATTTTCCAGTCTTTAGTCTTCTAGAACTTCTCTTGGCATATACTAGACTGCATACATCTAACTTCCTTATGACTTTTCCCTTGTTTATCTTAACTATTTTAGACCACATTTATCCTTCCTTCGTGTGTTCTGAGAATATTTCTCCTTCTACTATTTTTCCCCCATTTACCTTTTCTACCCAGTTGTTTCAGTTTCTCTGTTCAACTGGAGGAAATGCTGGTGACCTAGTGAATAAGGAGTTGCACTGCCAAGCCAAAGGCACATGGTTTGAATCCACCAGCAGCTCCATGGGAGCAAGATGGACAATCTCCTCCCATACCATTTACAGCCCTTGAAAACCCTCTGGCGTTTCAGCTGTGAGTCACTTTCGACTTGATGGCACTTAACATCAGGGAGCTCTGGTGGCCCAGTGGTAAGAAGTTGCTCTGCAATCCCAAAGGCACATGGTTTGAATCCACCAGTTGCTCCACAGGAGAAGTAAGGGCAGTCTCCTCTTGTGCAGTTTACAGCCTCTGGAAACCCACTGAAGTGTCACCTATGGGTTGATTCCAACTCAGCAGCACACAACAACTATTAAACTCATTCACTTAGATTTTTATTTTGAACAATTATATTTACTTCATACCAAATGTCCTCAATTAGATCTTCTTCAAAGTAGCTTTCCAGTATCATCTTCATTTTTCTGAGGAGACTTTAAATTCTTCTATCCCTGATCCACTGCTGTAGGTTGTTCTTTTGTTGTTTTTCATGGTGCTCATTTTCCTTTAACATCTAGTTCAATTTTGCTATGCCTTCATTTTTTATTCCCTAGGTGCTCTTAACTACCTTGGCCAGTGATAAATCATGGAGGAGAAAGTATAAGCTTAAATTCTAGTTTGTTTGCACTATATATAAATGCAAGGGGTGGAATGGGGTCCCACCTTTCCTTTTCTCTCTCCCATCTTCCCCTGCTTCCCAGTACCAGTCCAGGCACTACGGTTCTGAGGGAGCAGCCATCCTCCTTGTCATAACCAGACCTGAGGAGTTGGAGGCTGTGAAATGTGAAGGGGTCCTTTGTACTTCATCCCACCCTGGCTCCAGTTATTACCCACAGGGGCCAAAGTTCCAGCAGTTAAATCTCGTGGTGGTTGCATAGTCGATGGGCACTGCTAGGAAGCCCCCTTCTCCACCCCACCCTCCATAGGCTCCTGGCCCTTTCCTGTTAAATACCTTCCTCTCTCCCAGAGGCCTTTTAGAGGGCTTGTGTTGGTTGCTGGGCTAGACTTCGAAATCTCTCTGTCTCCCTGCTCTCCTGTGAGTCCTCAATGATGCACAACCTGATAAAAGACTGTTGTTTGTTTGCCATCAAGTTGGAACCGACCCATAGCTGACCTGCCAGTGGGTTTTCAGCGGCAGTAAATTGCATGAGAGGAGATTGCCCATCTATCTTCCCTCAGAGCAGCTGGTGGATTCACGCTGTGTGCCTTTGGGTTGGCAGTGCACCTGCGTATCACTAAGCTACAGTGTAGATCTTAGTACATATTATTAACCAATCAGCAGTCATACTGCAGTCTATGGTAACTCAAGGACTTATTAAGTCATAGACTACCTGAGTGTTACTGAGTATTACTCTTACTATTTAAAAACGGCAAGCAAACGAAAGAGTCCATTTTAGCACATTCATCTATTATCATGCACCCCTCTTTTGTAAAACTTTGTCACATGTTACAGAATATTGTTCAGTAACATAGGAAAATGTTTATAATATGTTGAATGAGGCTTGGGAAAAAAGTTAGAATACTATATTGTGATCCATTTTCATGCATATACTCATATAAGTTACTTCTGAATTAGTGATTGTCATTTTCTGTATTTTCAACAAGAAATATTTTGTATTAATATAATTAAAATAAAGACTAAGGAAAGATTAGAAAAAAATATTGATAAAGCCAAATTTTGGCATGCTGTTAAGCTGTCGTTATGTGCCGTCAAAGTTGCCTTTCACTCACAGTGACCTTATGTACAATAGCTCTGAAGCTTGTACTATCCTGAGCCAGTCTCACTGATGCTGATACACGTACCCCCATTGCCCTAGTCACTGAATCAATCCATCTCATCCAGGGTCTTCTTCTCCCGTGCTGTTCCTCCACCTTTCCGAGCATGATATCCTTCTCCAAGGATCACTCCTTCCTGGCCATGTTTCTAGTAGCAATAAATAATTACAGTCATAAGGTACAGTACTAAAAGTAGAGTAGTTGGAAAATGATTAAGTGAATTATGGTTATGTGATAAAGTATGAAAAACCCCATCGTGTCACTGTAGGTCAGAAAAGAACTGCCTGCTAGGCTTTGCAAAGCTGTAATCCTTAGGGAAACAGAGCACCGTAGCTTTTCTCTGCCCAAGGGACTGTGGACTCAAATCACTTCACCCATTGCATCGCCAGGGCTCTTCCTAGAATATTATAGATCCATTAAAATTCATGTTTCTGTAGCATCTATGGTTAAATATTAAAATATTTGCAATTGCATTAAAATGAAGTCTGTATAAAAAAAGACTAATCATCTTAAACGCGTCCAGTTGATTTATTGAAGATAGGATTGCTCATTACTAACTAAAACTAAATCGTCTTACTGGTATATGTATCTCAAATAGATTCCTAGAAAAGCATTATTAGATAAATCTGAGATTAGCCAGGTTTCAGCTTGTGGGTGTTGCATCCTTTGCAGTGCTTGGGTGCTCAGACTGCTGCTTTTCCTGCCGCTGGGCCTCTTGGTGGCTGCTGGCCTTCCCTGTGTGCTCCCCTGGCTGATGTAACCTGCTTCCGGCTTCAGTGAGGATGTAGAGTGAAGGCAGAGGCCTGGGAGTGGTCCTTCGGAATGTGTGGAGCTGATCGCTCAGGAATAGAGTGAGCAGGGGCCCCTCCTCCTGTGGCTGCCTGCTTACACAGAAAGCACCTCTCCTGCCTTTCTCCAGTCTTCTTGCGCTTCCTTTGTTCCTGTTACACTCCTAAAACTAATCTTTCTCAACTGAGTGTTTAGTTTCTCTTCCATCCATAAAGGGACAAGTTGGATCATTCTGGTGAGGGCAGAAGCATGCTGCAGGGAGCTCTGGTAGAGGCATCTCGATCTGCCTCTCATTTTCTGGTCATGATATTGGCACCGGTGGAGCATTTTAGAGCTAGAGACACCAAGACATGGTGGGAAACAGCTCGCCCAGGAGTCTGTTTCCCTGTGTCCTGGGTTTCCAACCTACTTCCGTTCCTCCTTGTTCAGTGGTCTCTCCACACCATTCTTACCCCCTGTCAGTCTCTCCTGCCTCGCTCTGTCATGTTCCTCTTTTTTTCCTTTTCTAGAAAGAAAAGTCAAAATCGAACAGCACAGCAGCCCGGGAACCTAATGGCTTTCCCTCTGATGCCTCAGCCAATTCCTCTCTCCTTCTTGAATTCCAGGGTGAGTTGCATCTACGTCTTCCTTGCAGGAAAATAGGAACTTAGATGAACCCATTCATCACAAGAAGAGTCCTGCGCATCGTTTCAGAGCCTACTGTGCTGTGGGTTTTTAGCTGGGCACTTTGCCCCAATGCCTTTTCATATAAAGCTCACAGTAACCCTGCAAGAGAAATGGCATTTTCCTCACTGTAGTGTAAAAGAAACTGAGGCACAGAGAGGTAAAGCCAAAGTATATTAAGTCACATACTTAGTAAATGAGAGACTCATGCTAGGTTCTGGATGCTGGGAATCAAAAAGTTCTTTTCTCTAAATTGTTTTCTGATGAGGCCCTCGAACAGGCAGCCCAGACCCAGGCCGTCTGCCTGGCCATCCTCAGTACCAGGTTGCACCTTCCGCGCCATCACCAGTAACCATGCACCGTGTGCCAGCACGCCAGGCATACACCACCACCCTCCACTCCTGGAGGGAAGTAACTGTTTACCAAGCACTTTCTCTCCAGTCGCATTTTATTTTTCTCTCAGTCTGTGATATAAACTGGCCCACTACTGTTATCCCTATTTAAAGAGACTGATGCTCAGAGAGGAGCGGTGGTGGCTCTTGGGTTAATCCACTTGACTGTAATTGAACGGTCACCAGTACCTGCCCGCCAGCTTCTCTGCGTGAGAAAAAGAAAGGAATCCACTCCTATAAAAACACACACAGCTTTGGAAACTGTCGGGCAGTCCTGGTATGTCCTTACAGGGTCACTCGGAGTCGTAAGTGACTCGGTGGCAGTAGGTTTGGCGTTGATTAAGGCTCAGAGAAACAAAGGTATTTGTATAAGCACAAAAGGGACAGGGCTTTTTCTTTTTATGATAAAATGTTGTGTCTGTTTTAGTGTGTTTTTGCAGGAGTAAAGACTAAACAAGGTTTGTGACTTCCTCTTTTGGAATTAGACTTGCACCCCAACCTTACCAGGGTCGCAATAATAATATTAGGGAGCTCTGTAAGAACGAGGATTCAAGAGAAGGGTTCTCTTTGGTAATATGTGAAACATTAAGTAATCATAACACTCTGGGAGAAATAGGGGGTTCTGTTTTCTTCTGTCTTGTCTCTATCTCGTGTTTTTTATTTTGTAAACATTTAATGAACACCTACTATGTGCCAGGTACTCTGTATTGCACTGAGGATCGAGGACAAATAACTCAAAGCCTGCTTTCCCAGAGTGTAATGGAAGGAACCAGGTGTGTAAATTAATAAATGCAGGTATACACAGGATATAGTGGGAACATAAAGAGAGGTGGCCATTGCACCCAAGAGTGCTAGGGAGCCTGGGCTACACAGTGGAAGGGTAGCTTGAGCTGAATGTTGGAATGCGTTGGGCTGTTGACGAAGACTAGAGAGAAGGCATACCAATAGAAAGAACAGATGGGCTCAGGCCTCCCTCTCTTGGGTGATGGTCCCAGGGTGCATGTGGAAGGGTGGCAGGCAGTGTGTGGATGGAGAACAAGACACAGATCTGTTTGGGGTAGATCCTGTCTGACTGAGAGGCGCAGAGTTTGAAATGTGTGCCTTACGCTGCAGGGAGGGGTGGGAAGCACTGGGAGCCATTGCAGGGAGGCTGGAGCCAAGGCAGTGGGAGGGCACGGTGACTGGGTTGACCTCACAGCTGGAGGTTAATTCCCATTTAATGCCTGGACACCAGGGGTGAAGGAGTGGGGGAAGTTGTTGAGTTCTGTTTTTCATTTAGGTGGTTCCTTTAGTCAGAGTTTCCCTGTTAAGACAGCCAGGCAGAGCCTGGGCAGCAGAGCCCTGAACTGACCACCACCCTTGTCAGATAACCTAAAAGTGCCAGACAGATTGTTTCATTCCCTGGACACCCTGTGATGGGAGAGAGAGGGGAAGTACTGACCCGAGGCCCACTTACAACCAGCTTTTCCACTGGACAGTGAGAAAATATCAAATCTGTCAGGTGCCATCGAGTTAGTGCCAACTCCTAGCAAATCTGTGTCCAGCAGGACGATATGTGGCCCATTTGATGGACCATTAAAGAAAGAATGAATAAGCATATCTTGACCTTCTTGAATTAAGAATACTACGAAGATTCTGGTTGCATCTAAAGTTTAGAATATGTTGTGAAACAGAAAATGCTTAATCAGAAATCATCAGCTTAGTCGCCCTGCTGGCGATCTGCAGTCCCTTCCCGCTCCCGAGGGTCAGCCCTTCCAGCCTTTCCTCCTGCAGTGACTGGGTTCCGGTCCTGGCCACGTTGCCTGAGGAGATGCCGGGCCCTTGGATCTGTACTGCGTTGCTCTGAGGGGAGTTAGCAGCTTCAGGGGTTGCCTTTGTTGTGTTTGGTTCCCAGATGAAAACAGCAACCAGAGTTCTGTGTCTGACGTCTATCAGCTCAAGGTGGACAGCAGCACCAATTCCAGCCCCAGCCCCCAGCAGAGTGAGTCCCTGAGCCCAGCACACACGTCTGACTTCCGCACAGATGACTCGCAGCCCCCGACTCTGGGGCAGGAGATCCTTGAAGGTGAGTCTCACTTGCACAGGACGAGCATCTTGGAGGGGCCTTGCTTCTTGCTCTTGCCGCTGCTCCTCTTGAGAGTGGAGATCTCAGAGTATCTCGCTGACACCTTGGAATCCTTCAGGGGTTGAATGTATTTTACCTTTCCAGAGTGAAGGCCCAAACCAACTTGTATTGAATGCCAGACCCTGTGGAAGGCATTTTTCAGATTTGATGCCTGACGATTATCTCTAATTTAAAGATGAGGAGGTGGGGCCTATAAAAGGTGAAATGGCTTTTCCAGGATTATGGAGCCTCGTGGAAATGGATGCCAGTTTAAGAGCCCTCCTGGCCCAGTAGCAACGTGCTTGAATACTAACCAGAATGTCAGTGATTTGAACCCACCAGCTGCTCCAGGGGAGGAAATGTCGTGGCCTGCTTCTGTGGCGGGGACAGCCTTGGATATTCCCTGTGTGCATCCCTGCTGTGTCCTTCAGCGTCACTGGGAGGAAGACTCCACTCAGCGACAGCAGGGACTTAAGAGAGTTCATGTGCTTCGCGTTATACCCTGCACGTTTCTGGTTATAACACATTATAACACATAGGGGAGAGAGAGAGAGTGTGTCTTCTTGTGTTGTTAGTTCCACTGAGTTGGTTCAGAGCAGCCCCTTATACAGCAGAACTATACACCGCCCAGTGTGTCCCAGTGTCTCATGTGAAGGTGCCACCTTCACAGTCTTCTGCACTTAGGCCCATTTTTGCAGTCTTTATGTCAGTCCGTCTCATGAAGGAACAACTTCTTCGGTGACTTTTCAGTGTGTCTTTTTCCAGGAATTGACCCCTCCTAATTTGTCCAGAGTCCTTGAGAGGAAGTCTCACCACCCTCTCCTCTAAGAAGCACTCTGGCTGCACTTCTTTTACGACAGATTTACTTGTTCTCTTAGAAGTTCTGTGGTATATTCAGCATTCTTTGCCATCGTACGATGCAGAGGCATCGATTCTTCTGTCTTCCTTGTTCAGGGTCCAGCTTTCCTGTAAGGACATGATGGGAAGCTCCATGAGGTGGGGTGAGAGCCTGGTGACGTGACATCCTTGCACTTTAACACTTAACAGAGGCCCTTGTCTTTGACTGTGGATCCAAACAAAATTGAATCCTTGACGACTTCATTCTCCTCTTCATCTATCATCTTGTCTATTGGTCCAGCTATGTGGATTTTTGTCTTATGTTGAGGTATAGTCAATACTGAAGGGCTGTAGTCCTGGAACGTTTTCAGTAAGTGCTTTAGGTCCTCTTGACTTCAACAAGCCAGGTGTGTCGTCTGTGTATCACATGTTGCTGCTGAGTCTTCTGCCAATTCTGATGCCACATTCTTTTTGATATAGTTCAGCTTCTTGGATTATTTGTCCTGGCTCTGGTTATCTGTCACTTATTAACAGTAAGGGTATAAAATAGAAGTTGTGTCCCTGTAGATAATGCCAGTGATAGTATTATTGTGCACGTGCTGTTCACCATTCACTGATCCAGCACCTTACGTGTCCATCCCACTGAATCCTTGAAGCGGCCTTCTCATTACATCAAGCAGTTGGCTTAGAACCTAAACGTTTAGCTGGAGAGCGAGATGAACTGCTTAATCAGCTCCCGATGCCTGCAGCGTAGACCATACTCACGAGCCTAGCGTCCGACCCTGTATGGTCTTTCCACATGTTACTCATCTCCCATGACAGGACTGTGCCTCAGTCCTCCCCATTCACCAGCTCTCCTCTGCGGAACTCTTGGGAACACTCCCCAGGCCTGAGGCCAAACTTCACCACCTCTCCTCCCTGCCTTAAAAAGGCCCATTAGTTAATGCAGACCTTGCTGCCTTTTTCAGAGCCTTCTCTGCCTGCCTCGGAAGTTGCTGATGAACCTCCCACCCTCACGAAGGAGGAACCAGTTCCACTGGAGACACAGGTCAGCAAGCACTTTGGTTTTCCTAATTTCTAAGAAAAAGAAAGAACTCTGTTGGTGTGAAATTGGCACTGACAGTGCTGAGTGTGCAAGCAGGGAACTGGTGTCTCCAGCTTGGAAGAGAGGGAAAGAGGCTTGATCATCTGTGAGAGGGTGGGCTTCAGGGCTCTAACTGGGGTGGATGGAGCAGTGAGCTCTCAGAAGGTTCTAGTTCCTAGGCATGATGTGTAATTCCATACTCTGGCTGCTCCTAGGTTGTTGAGGAAGAGGAAGACTCAGGTGCTCCTCCCTTGAAGCGCTTCTGCGTGGACCAACCCCCAGTGCCGCAGACCGCATCTGAAAGCTAGCACCACCATTGCCCTCCGCCTTCGGGCCCCCTCCTCTATTTATTGCATTCTGGTTCTGGCCGAGCTGTGTTGCTGGGTAAGGGCAAGCACTGGGGTCCAGAGCGTGCACATTGGAGCCTTCTTGGCCTGAAGGTGACATAGGACTTGGGGTTGTGGCATTATCTTCCCGTCCTTGGCACCTGTGTCTGCTTGCTCCTGAGAAGAGGAGCAGTCATGTCCTTTTTGCACCCCAAGTAGGCTGGAGCATCTACCACCTCAAGGCTCATCTCTCACCTCCAGGTGGCAGACTCTGTTCCAGAACCTCTGGACTGAGCTGCTGTCGCTTCAAGAGAGGAAAGAGATGTGGAAGGCACCGTCTGGAGAAGACAGGAGTTACTTGAACTTGAATGGACTTTGCTGTGGGGCTATGAGCCCCACCTTGTAGACTGCTGTTGGAGAGGGACTTGGGTAGACTTTGGAGTGATGGGGAGAGTCTCTTGCAGGCAGGGAAGAGTTCTGGGCTCCAGATGGGGGCAGACAGTTTATGTAGCTTTCTGGCCCGTGTTGAGGGCACTGCAGCAGCCAGCAGCTGACAGGCCTTCTTCCCTCGCTGTAGTTCTCCTTCCTTTCCCCAGAAAACACACACACACACACACACACACACACACACACACCCCTTCCCCTTTCACTTGCGCGTTTCATTCCAGCATTCCCTGCCTCCTGCCAGGGCCCCCAGCTCTTCTGCCACAATCTGCCCAGCAAGAATTTGAGGTTCTGACTACAGTACCCATTCCCCACAATACTCCTTCAGCGCAAACTTTCTAGAGAGTTCTCTCGTCTTTGAAACCTGCATGTTCAATTGAATTTTGTGATTTTATTTTTTGTCTCAGAAGAAGTTTAAGATAATGGAAATGGCAACAGTGAGTGAAGACATATTTTAGCACTGCATAGAATATTTTTAAAATTAAATGATTTGAAATATGTCTTGTTGGCATCTGAATGCTTCATTCTTAAAGGCTGTGGGGGCAGCGTGGGGCGCGGGGGCTGCGTGCCTGAGGAGTCGCTGTGTGCTGGGCCTGCCAGTTGTCTTCCTCCCACAGAGTCCACTTTTAGAGAAGAGTGATTTTGGAGACTCTCTTTGAAGAAACCATGTGGATCAGATTATATTCCTGTCTCTGTGAACACAGCTTACAGCCAATGCCTGCCTTTGCCTCCAACCCCAGCTCCTCAGGAGAGATGCTTGAGTTCTTTCATATGTTCTTCTTATTTTTTTTATATAAAACACACAGAAAATGTACCATGTTAAAGTGTGCAATTAAGTACAGTGAGTACGTCCTGCAAACCTCAAGACTATCTATTTCCATAGCTTTCTTGATCACCCCAAAGGGAAACCCTTTATCATTTGCAGTCACGCCCTTCTCCTCCTCCAGATCTCTGAGCCACTAAACCACTCTCCGTCCATGAGTGCCTTTTTGTTCCTGAGTCCTGAGGAAAAGAATAGAGCCATGGTTGAAAGAATTCCATAGTATATATGTCCAGGAATTTCGTTCCTGTATTCTAGTCTTCAAAATCATTCCTCTTAATTCTCTCAGGGGAATCAGAGCCTCCAAATAAGACTAGATTCCAAATCTCTGATCCTGTTTGATTGTCCCTAATTTAACATGTCCATGTGTCAGATGAATGTCACAGATGGTGGAATTACTGTATGTCGTACTTAAAAGAAGTATGTTTAAATAGCCTGTGTTGCCTTTTGGTTTTTAAAGCATAAATGAATAAGAAACCATAAAGAATTAGCAGGCAGATTAGAAAAGAAATAGAATCTCTGCAAGTGAAATCAGAATTACTGAGATCAAGTGTCACAAAAGATAGCAAGAGAAAAATAAGAGGAGTTAGCAGCATAGAATCCTATCCTTCAGGAAGCTAGTGGACCACCGCACTGCAATCCTGAAGTCACGTGGTTCGAATCTACCAGCTTCTTGGCAAGAAAAGACTGTGCCATCTCCTGTGTGATTTACTGCCCCTCAAAACCCGCTGGAGGGTCAGGTATGGGTCAGTTCCAACTCGACGGCAAGCAACACCACCACCAGATACGGGAAGTACTGGCAAAGAGGCCCAGAAAAGGATAATAAAAATTGTCACTAAAAACCATGTCTGTAAGGCTAGTGGTCTCACCCCAAGAGTGTTGTCTTAACATTGTCTAGGCTGGATTTTATAGAGAAGAAAGGATGGTGACCCTTATATGTAGAGAGATTTACCTCAGAGAAATGGCTCCCATGCTTGTAGGGGCTCACAAGTCCCAAGCCTGAGCGTCAAACATGAGCCTGGAGACTCTGACTCAGCAGCAGGGGCCGAGGAACCCAAGAGCAGAAGGACGGCTGGCAGAGCGCGATCTGTGAAGGCTGATGAGTCCCAGATCTGCAGGCCCGACAAGCCAGCTGTGGGACCCGACTCAAGCAAACCGCAAGCCAGCTTTGCCAGATACCCACATCCATTACGGGTCACACCCTCAAGAAAACATACAGGCTGCTCAACCTCACAGAAGCATTTCCGTTACATTGGATCTCGTCAAGGAAATGATTGCACTGGAGATACCACACTAGAGAATTATGAGGAGCCAAGCTGGCACACCACCTCGATCGTCACATTCTTCTCCCATTGGCTTCCACTTTACTACCCTGAATAGATGTTCTCTTAAGAAATTCAGGTGGTAACCAGCAAACTGAACTCGGAATCTTGATGGAGTAGGAGTTAGGAGGATGAGAAGAAACAAGAGGAAAAGTCAAAACACTGACCATAATTGACTTTTGGTAAATTGCCTCAGAGCAATGAACACAACTGAAATATGAGCCCACCTGACTCAACAGACTGAATATGGGTTAGCACCAAAGATCAACAGGACTTGACGGATTTTACACAAGGGAACTTTAAGCATGGACACAGTGAGTGCGTGGGAATAGATGTCTAAACCTACATTACTCATCCTCTCAGGAAATACATTTACTATACAGCTGTCTAGAAAACACATCCTGAGTTCACGGTGAAGTACATGGTTTCTGTCTTTAAGGAGCTCACAGTCTGATGAGGTAGAGAAAACAGAGGAGGACTAAGTGTCTTGTAGAATGGTGAGATTGGGGGGCACAGATAAGAACCTTTAAGGTTTGAGATTCTAGGAGGCCATGGAGGAAAGGAACACCTGAGCAGGACCTTGAAAAATGTGTGCAGTGTGAGAAGATGGGTAGGAAGACAGTGTTCCCAAGAGTAAATGTATAAAGATAAGATGTCGGCTTTTAAAAAAACTCTATTTTTAAAACAACTATGAGATATCATTTCACCCCAGTCAAAATAGCAAAATTTAACAGAACAGCAAGCAACAAATGCTGGCGAGGTTGTGG